CCCCAAAACCCCAAAACCCCAAAACCCCAAAACCCCGAGAGATATTTCAATTATAGAATATAGTAGTCATTATAATCATTGATAATACATTAATTTATAACAATTTAATTGATTCCATTCTATATCAGTAGTAATTCATCTATTTAGCTATGAGAAAATATATGTCAAAGTTAGTCATAGTTTCATTTGGCTCTATATTAATTTTAGATCCTAACTGGCATTTATTGATTATGCTAAAGTGGTATGTGAGTCGTTGTATTCAATTGATTTTTATGATTTAAGTATTATACTGAAGAATTATTGCTGTGGATATGGAAACTCTGAGATTACTATTTTAACATGTTCTTCCCATTAAGTTTCTTATTTGGAGATCCATTTTACTAGTAAGCTCTTCTCACTCTAAGATTTTTCTGGCTAGAATTTAGCATTGAAGGTGAGATTGATTTTTTTAATGATCCAGAAATGCTTCTCTCTTTACTTAAGGATCTACCAGGCGATACTCTATTAGCTTGGAGAGGATTAGACCTTAAGGGAGTGTAGCCACCACCACCATTATTAGGCTTAGAATTATTTGAGATTCTTTAAACTCTGCTTCTTTAAGTCTATTCATCATTTAGTCTAGCACTGCTTTCATATACTCCTCTTTGATTACAATTATTGCTTTTGTTCTTGATCTAATTTAAATTAGCATGTACTGAATTCTACTATTCTTAATTCTACTGCTACCTGTAATATTAATCCACAGATAAGAATTAGGTTTTTCTCTGCTATCTCATTTGCTATTATACCTTCTAGGAGTCATTCATTTAGTTGTGATTATATTTATAGGAATTGGGTAACTCATCGTGTGTTCTTTCTAAGTTAAAGCTAGGCTAACTCATAAGATCTTTCTCGAATTATAGAGCCTCTTTATCCATAAGATTTTATGCCATTCTAAATTAGATTAAGGTTATTGAATAACTTACAATTACTTTTCTAGTCCTTGATAATGCAAGGATTACTACTTTAAAGATTGATAAGGAATGATAGGCCCAGAACTTTAAAGATTATTTGAGGATTAAGATCCCAGCATGCTTGATGGTTGAATGGATTTATTGACTTAGATTAACAATTCCAAATCTTTTAGTTTTCTCTAGCAATCATTCAGCTCTGCTTCAATTATCTAAGGCTCACGATAGTTTTAAAGTCTTTTTTATTAATTATCAAAGGATCTCATAGAACGAGTTTGATTTGTTATTAAATCTTGTCTCTAAGTTGTTGTAGTCAAGTTCAAGATTTTCTAATCTATATTCTCATCTCTATTGGATTTTATCTTTTTAAAAAGCTTATCAATGATGATCTTAAGAAGTTCGTAAATGTCTGAGCCAGTTTTTTTGGAACTTAAAGTCTCAAACAGGTTAACATGATCTATTATATCCTCTATTATGACAGATTTATTCTAATTGATAATTTTAATTATTGCCCTTAACCCCTTTTTACTTGTTTCTTATTCTTTTAGCAGTTCTCTTAATTTGTCTTAAAGCTCTGACTATTTTTAGTTACTTATCTAGTTGCTTTCCTTAACATGCCTTTCGAGCTTGGTAATATATTTCTCCTTCTTTTAAAGCTCTTACTCACTCTCTATCAACTTATTCTAGTGCAATTCCTCCAAATCTCTATGCTGTTTCTTCATAAATTCTAGCTCCTTTATTAAATACTATTCATTCACTGATTTATAATCAGATTACTTCTTAATTTTTTAGGATAACTCTGATGCTTAGAGCCTCAAAGGAGACTAGTCAAGCTTACTAAAAGATTTTTGGAAGCACTATTGTGGTTACTGAGTATCAACTAGATGCTGATGATTTTTCTTAGAAGCGTAATCTTAGGTATATTCATATAGTGAGGAAGATTCGTCAACTGGGTTATATTATGATATGTTATGTTAGACTGACTAATCATTTATAATATAGTTCGAGTTGAGCATGGATTAATTATGAGCTTACCCTGCTCTCATCGCATACTAGTTAATACTCATAGTTTGCGGCTGTTATGAGTGAATAGTTATTTATTCACTATCATTGTTGTTGCTACCATGATTCTAATGATGATAGTGTCTATTTGTTTATGGCTAGGATAGACTTCTGTAATGCTGAGCATTTGACTGCATCAACTGATTCTGATTTTCATCGATAGATCTCTTCTCATAGTTGTATCTTAGTTGTGGCTACAGATCATGATTTATAACCACAAATGAATTTGATAATTGATCGTTTTGAAAATAGCTATTCGACTGTTGCTTAAGCTTTAGATCTTAGTTTAGGATATCCCCTCTTGATCTTTCAAAATGATATCTACTCTCGAATTCCTGCCTCAAAGGACTTACATCATGGACCTAGTTGTTCTGATGGTAGTTGATGTTAGTATTGTTGTGACTCTAGTTGGGATTTCTTTCAAAAGAATTCATGAATAATTGATTCTGAATGTTATTTTATGAGTTATTTTAGTATTATATTATACCTGTTTCTTAATGATTGCTTAAAAATCTCTATTCGTTATTTGGATTTAGGTAGTTCTTAAAAGAGTTATCAAATGTTTGAGAAGTATCAGCCTGGCTTATGTTATTTGATTTATATGTGACATCCTGCAAAACTTTATTAAGTATAATCTATTGTTATGTTTACTCAGTGGGAGAATATATCAAATTATTATCAAATGTACCTTGTATCTAGTCTAGAGATGTAAGAAAATTTTCTTTATTATCGTCTTAGTATTTTTAGTTAACGATTTAGTTAACTTGATGATCTATTAACAGCTGCTTCAAAGAACTAGTCTCCTACATCTACTTCCTTTCTTATCTTATGATATCTGATAGCCTAATCTTGCTCTGACTATTATCTCTTGACATCTGATGAGGCAAGTTCTGTAGACTGAATTAAGTTGGAGTTGTAGACTATGCAATTCCATGATGACTATCATTAGAGGAACTTCTGTTAAACACATTATTCTAAGGTAGTTGAGTAGACCTAAGCGGGGATACCGGCCTGTGAGAATTGCCACCCTGCATTTAATTCTGATTGTGGACCTAATGATTCTAATTATTTAGGAGTTATTAACTACTCTCATGAGTGGATAAATTTACAATTGTCAGCTTCTAAATTGCGTTGTTTAAATTCATATTTTTAGATTGTTAAATTATACTTTGTCTGCTAATACTATAGTTTAACAGAAGTTTATTCTTAAGTGAGTTAATATTAATTTGAAAGCAATTTTTAATTTATAAATACTTATTATAATTAATTACAAGAAAGAAAAATGATGCTCTAAAAATATTTGATGTAAAGCAAGGCATCCCTTTACGCTTATTGTAAGACATTATATCGTATATAATTCTAATTTAGCAAGAATGGGCTTTGCAAAAAACATCACCTTGACTCCTCAAGAAAAAGACTATTATACTATTCTTGGAATTCCTACTAGTTCTACTGCTGAGTAAATCAAGGAGAGCTATAGAAAGTTAGCTAAAAAGTACCATCCAGATGCTAGAGCATCAGAAAGTGAAGCAGAGCGTGACCCTAACCCAGATAAATTCAGAGATGTTAATGAAGCTTATGCAGTTCTATCTCAAAGTGAATCAAGAGTCAACTATGATTTACAAAGAAAGAAGAACCCTGACAACTTCAAAGCTATGTCTGAGTTTGAGTATATTCTTGAAAAGAGAGTTGATTTAAGAGATAAGACTGGTCATGTTCCACCTGCAGAGAGACCATCAAGGGGATCATATGCTGAGGAAAGACTTCATCAACTTAAGGTTGAGAGGGAGAAGTACAATGTAAACTATCTCGGTTACTATAAGGGAGGTGTTCCATAAAAAGATGCTGGTCCACTCAGAAGTAAATCAATTGGTAACCCTCATGAATTCCATTCTCCTCAAATTCACAACTACCTTGAATTCAATCATTAAGACACTGCATTTGTATCATCAGAAGATGCCATTAAATTCAAGCATTGGATGGGCTCAGATATTGTTGATTTCCAAAGATCAAGACCATACTATCCTATGCATTACGATAGAAATATGGACTTCTTACGTGATAGAAGCTACTGGCTTGTAAGTTAATTTTTCCAGGAAAAAATTGTATTAATTATTTTCTATAGGGCTTCATTCTTTTGGTTATGGGAGGTTCTTATGCTAAATTAAAATACTCCTAAGAGTCAAACAGATGGTTCTAATGGATAAGAAAAGAAGAACTTAATACAATCCCTGCCCATCATTTATCACACAGAGGAGGAGTACTCTTCGAAAAGTAATTTGTTGGTTTTGAAAAGTATCATCAAAATAACGAATCACTAATGAACTGGTACAAAAAAGCATATCCTCTACAATTCCAAGAAGCTCATGCCACAGAATGAAAAGAAGAGTATATACCTAAAACATTAAGGCATCATAGCAGCCTCTAGCTAAGCTATATGTTCTTTCTTTATTTAAACTTTATATCCAATAAGCAAAAAAACTTATATCTATCTTTAGGCTATAATTGAAAGATGGGGTTTTGGGGTTTTGGGGTTTTGGGG